TTAGACAGTTTTATGTAATTTTTATTTTATTGTTAATGTTATTTTTATAATCATTATTATATTATTATATATTTTGCATGTTAGCTGTATTTTATTTATGCAATTAGCTGCCACCGGGTTATGCCCATTTGCAGTTCAAATAAATTTATCTTATCTTGTTAACTTATTTCCGTCTTCCTTCGAATACCATCATAAAATTGTTAGAAGCATTACTGAAAATATCGATACCGATTTTGAAATTGATTTCAAAAATAAAACTGAACTAATTGTGTAAATGTCACCAATATTCCATCTCCTCAAATCTTATTTTAGATGTAGACATATTTTACGTCTAAGATCTTCCATTATTACTCCACAACCGGAAAGAATGAGCAGAGATTACGCACGACTCTTTTATCCAACGACTCGATCTCAATACGGCGTTTGTCGCTTTGATAGAATATAGGTGTTGTGGTGCGTTATCGTTGGCATTTTTCATAAAATAGATAGAATTTATAGAAATTTGATGGCTTTGATAGAATTTACATGGTGAATCTGTGTCCCAAGTAAAATAGCCGAAGCTAATTCTAACTAGTGGTGCTACAGAATGGCATAGATTTTCCTGTATTAGGTCTCTATTCTGTTGATTTGGGCTAGCTATTCTGACTTCCTTCTTTGCAAAGAACCGTTTGAATATCTTGTAAGATGTTTGTTTTGGGGTTGTTTTTTTTTTTTCGTGGAATTTCCAGGTTATAAAAGTGATGTCCTCCTCGTAGCCTGCGTTGTTGAAGTTAAGGATCTTCCGCGAAAATTTCGGTTTCCGCCAATAACCTTGATGTTCTTCTGTCTTGATGTTGACGTTCCGTTCACTTTAATGTCTTAAATCCGATGTTAAATAACTTACAATGTTCACATAATTAATTATTTGTGAATGTTACAGGTGGACATCCCTACTCAAGATTATTTTCATACACAACAGATAAATGTTCTAGCTAGCTTTGCAAGTTCTCGTCTTCTCCCAAAATCATTACATTGGTGCAACATGTCATTTTTATTTTCTATTGTTACGTTTGTTATGATCATTTTAAAGACCTAATTTTGGACAACATACTTTGTCTGAGGCAAAAACCTCTGTCTTCAATTTTGCAGTTTTGAGTTTTTTGCCATTATGGAAAAAACAGCATTACTCGAAAATAAGACTGGCACCATATTTTTACCGTCCCTTACTACATATGTGGAGACAATTTAAAGTAAAAATTCGACTGGTTTTTGAGAAAAAATTCAAGTTTCAAGCCCAAATTACGCAAGAACTACTCGTTAAAAAAATGTACATGGTATATTCTAAAGAGCTACTTTTGTACAACAGCAACTTTGTCTGAGGCAAAAATCTCTATCTTCAATTTTGAAGTTTTAAATTGTTTTCGAATTTTCGAAAAATCGGAGATTTCAATGAATATGAGACTTGCACCATTCTCTTAAACGTCTTTTGCGCTATTTATCAACAGAATTTAATTTAAAAAATTGGAGCAATTTTATAAAAAAAAATTGAAAATGTCCGGGACCTTCATGGAAAGTGCCCTCCACAAATTAAAATATCGGTTTCAAATCCCAAAGGGCCGCGACATCAGCTATAACGATTGGAGAATATAAATTTTGGAGAAAATCGGGAGAATGGTTTATGCGCTAGCGTAGTGCCCTGACGGATTGACAGACAGACACGTTTTGCCGTCAGTCGATTTTTCGGTATGAAGGACCCACAAAACATCTGAGTTCTGGATACACGCGTGTTTTTTGAGAATTTTTTTTTCTAAATTTAGCAACTGGATGTATCCACTTCTTCGTTACTAGGACCCGGCAATAAGAGTTTTGGTGATGAAAATTCGCCGTTTTCCGGCGCACGATTACAATACTTTCTCTCCTTAATTTAAAAGCGCGAGAAAGTAAAAAACGACATTATAAATCTTTCAGTCCTAGTTGTGACTCGTGATTTTTTGCCCGAAACTGTTTAATTTCTAAGTAAATAACATTTAAAGGCAAAATATAATTGAAAGTGGATATATTAATAAGGGATATTCACAGTAACGCTAAACATTATCCCGCACGTTTTATAACCCAGAACTAAAATTCATCAATTTATTAATTATCTTATTAGCTCAGCTTAATAAAATTACTGTTCTCATATTATTAAATTTCTTCTCAAAATGCCAAAACAAGTAAATATTTTATAATATAAATTTGAAGATCCGCAAAAATAATAAATGAGTAAATATATTTTTTGAAAACATTTGTCCCAATATTGAGTGAGGGGGGCTATTGCCCCCTCTTGTTTCCCCCTCTCTCCTACCACTGTATCACTCACTGACTCACAAAAAAAGTCAAATTTGTCAATTAGGCCCATATTGAACTACGTAATTTATTACTTAAACCTATACTCTCATAGATCTATGGAAGTGTAAGCTGAGAGACATCCTCCTTGCCGAGAGGTCATAGTTGGCAGTCTCCAAGAATTCGAAGCCGAAGTTTTGTGGTCAAGAGGTCTAGTAATGCGATCTGGCGGTGGTATTTCGAAAGAGCTAGTTAGGGGGGAGTGACCATTCATGTGTGTGTACGTTCGTCCGTGTGTATGAAAAAATAGAGGTTACAGGATGTGTTGTAGTGAAAGAATGTGACACACAACTAGGAGGAAAATTCCTCCTATGTATGTCGTTACAAGTTGGTTTATTATTTCAAATAATTATTTTATCTCTGAAGATGTGCGTGCCAATACAAATATTTTGTCACAAACATTATGAACCTTACGTGACATAGTTGTAAGTAAACCACAACATTTTAATCTTCATTTGAGAAGAAACTGAAATCATGCTCACATTACTTAGTCAAGCGCGTTTCTGGACTCTTAGGGACGATATTGTAATTAAGGATACTGATTTTGGAGCCTTCAAGTAAGTGTATCACTTGTCACTTAACCCGTCTGAGAGTTACGATGTTCAGAAAAATAAATATGTCACTTAAGAGATATTTAAAATACACAGGTTTTACGAAAAGAAAGACTCGACAGACTCTATATACCGTGAGAGCAAGAAACAATATGCCGAAAAGAGAGGAATGACATGGAATGTCAGTAATAGGCGACCTAATAAACTCAGGGATTCAGTAAAGGAATTAGATGTGAGTATTACTTTTAAAGTCTTATGTGATATGGATGACCAATTACTTCCTTATTGCATTCTTTGTTGATATTGGAAGTAAATTTTGAAAGAACAGCTCCTCAATGCAAAATGCAATATAACATGATAAATATATAATTTTCATGTACCAACAAGATGTCATTTTGATAGCTAGTAATAAATAAGATACTCTGCTGACTATATGAAATTATTGAATTTAATGTAACCAAATTGCCTTTTAATCTAAGATTCATCAAAATTGATTGTCAGTCTCTTTCAGCTATTTTGTAATCAGGTGTTGACTTGTATTTGAAGTTCAAAATGCACATTTCTTTATCTTAATAAATTTAATTAAAACTTCTTTAGTTCAGTGTAAAATTCTTTGAGTTAAAAGGAATGAAGTATTACAATTTTCCTCATTATTGCTAAATTCGCATTGGCAATTAATTAAATTGTTTTTGTTTGTTGTTTGTTTTTCCTGAATATTTTCTTTGTCATAACATTAATTCCGGTAAAAACATAAACATTTTTTTTAAATTTAATTTTGACCAATTTTTCTGTAACTTTTATCGTTATTTTTTTTTCTTTTCTTTCTTCAGGAACAATTAATTAACCATCGAGTGGTGTTTTGTCAGTGGCGTGATGACTGTCTTTTACAAGTTATGTTCAGTTCAGGCCTCCTAGCCAATATTTGTGTTGATATATCTACTGGCGATATTCTTAAAGTTTCTTTTGATAAATATTTAATTGGAAAATTATTATCAGAATATGTTGTTGATGGTATGTATGAATTGTAAAGTTTTTTGTATGTAACCTTCAAATATCATTTTAAATTCTCTGTTGTTAATGACAAAGATATTTTTATTGTGAGTGGATTGGTGATGACTAATTGGTTTGTGACAAAATTATTGGAATCCTAAGCGCCTCTTCTGAACTACTGAACTGAGGCGTATTGAGAAGACAAACATATTCAAAAAAATCAGTTTAGTCATTAAAAGCACATTATATTCTAGATAACCAGTTGAAACAGTAATGAAGGATGAACTAGATGAATATTATGCTTAATATATAATAATATGTGTAATTAATAATTCCTATTAAGTCCAATCCAAATATTAGATTTCTCCAAATTCACTTTTGGCTTTATTTGTTTCAGTGGTGTTCACAAAGACTCACATCGTTTGTTCATATAATGATAATCAAATCACATTGGTGTATTTGAGTAAACCATGTGTGCGACCAACGGGACCTGAGAAACTCAGTAGATTGGATCCACGATTGCATACTGTGGAATTAGCGGGCCCAAGTGGCCGAAGATTGGAACGGCGACTTTCTGCCAACACAAGTGGTGACACTGTAAGACTTCAATTCCTCCAGAGTTAGCTAAATTTTGCTCTCCCACCCATGCTGGTTAAACATGTAAAAAAACTTGAAAAGCATGTTAATAAACATTGAAATGTTTTGTTTTTTTTAATTTCAAATAAAATAACTGAACTTATAATTTTATGTATCAAAATATTTGTTAAAAAATCAAATTTAATTACAAAAAATACTTACAAAGAAGTATGAGAAAAACAGTACAAAGCAAAGCAAACTGACAATAAAATACAAACTTCATTTGCCAGTATTGACAACTCCAATTTTATCCCAACACACATGCAAATGTGGTTGAATTAGTTCCAAGCCAGCATTACTATTGTTTCTGCAGTGACTTGATTGGGATGTCCTAGGTTATAGTCCTCACTGGTGAATTTTTCTCATAAAGTGGCTAGGTAGTGTTTCATTGTTTCTCCGATCACTGTCAGGTGTATTCCAGGGAAAGACCCTGACAAATGGGCTATGGACTGCACCCAATCTTCCCTTCCAAGAGGAATTCCTTATCCCCTCTCCTCCCCTTAAACACACCCAGTCAAGCACTACTTTACCACACAAATTGGGAGATCAGTCGCAAGGATAGAGCTTGTCCTAGCTAAAGCTGAGCCCCACACCAAGGTTGATGCATGGAGGGAGAAAGCTCGACAATCAGACAAGTAGGTTGCCACCATATCTCACCATCCAGTTAGGGAAGACACTGCTTCCTCCTGGGATAAACCATTTACTTCACTGATGGAAATAATGATCTTATGTGTTGAAGTGCCTGGAAATATCAGTCAATTACACAAATAAAGACAACACTAGTGCAAAATTACCTGAAAGTGAATTGCAAACTTGCTCAATAACTTTCTTACATTTGTTACTTTATTACTCAAGGATAATAACTTTCACAAAAGTGTACATTACCGGTATTGATTATATGAGTTTTAATACTTCAAATGGGGGAATCATTGGACCATATATACTTATTGAATATACTTCATTTTTACTTTGCAAATTATGCAAATCAATCACCCCCCAAAATAACCACAAGTATATCCAAAAGTACCCATTGGGTTTTACAATCCTGATTCTTTTATTCAGTAGTGTTATTGTGCATGAAAAAATATCAACCAATAAATGATGTTAGTATTTTTTTTTTTAGCTATTACCAAGAATGATTTTTGTATGTAAAAAGTCAATGCTCTTGACAACATTTTTAATGGTCGTTGGTTTTCTTTAACAAGTGTTGTTTGTGCGTTTTTTAAAATTGTAGTTAAAAAAAATGTAGTTACCAAGAATATTGAAGAAGTGTTATATGATTTACGCATTTCTGAAATTTTAATACTTATCATATTGTTTTTCGAAAATTTATATGCTTTTTTTAAATTGAAGAACAATAATGTAATTTGTTGATATCAATTGATTTCTTAAAATCCTCTTTGAAGTAAGATTCTGCATTTTCTTTAAATTTTATCTCAATGATCTTATGTATGAATATTCTTGAATATATATATTTGTAATTTGAAGAACACTTCCGTTGTGATCCACAGGTGCTTGTGTGGTGGCGCTGTGGCAGAGATGAAGTCTATCCGTGGAGTCCTGTTGTTAGAGACCAGGACAGAGCAAATGTGCATGTGTATAGCATTAGTGGGTAAGAAATATAAAATTCAAAATCTTGTGGGTGTGTTTTGTTGTTTTTTCCTCCAAGTGAAATTTTTTGCAGGACCCGAGCACAACTCCTCTGCTGGTATCGTACCGACCACGACCCTATTTGGGTTAGTTTCAGCCTCCTCCAACCTTCCCTTATTCTGTCAGTGGAACAGAAAGTGTCTCGTAAGGTAAGCAGTGAGTAAAGACAACGTAACACCAGTTGATTCACTGGCGGGTCCAGGGGGTGGGGGCCCGGGGGCCATGTCCCCCCCAACGCCTAGAGTTTTCATTTACCTCTAATTATTAGCAAAATTTATTTAAATATTCATGTTCAAATTAGGTAATTGTTTAAACAATAATATTGTATAGTTCCATATATACTGTATTATAATATACAATATAACAACAAATATGTTTATTATTTAACAAAAGTCTATGATGGACCCCACCAAAATGATCGGCTGGATCCATCCCTGACTAGGTTCAAATATGAAATAATTATTTATGATTCGATCTTTTATCCAATCAATTTTTTGTGAACAGAAAAGGGTGAACACATGTAGAATATAATTGGTGTTCATCAGTACAACCTCTTTTAATCATGAATTTTTCAGGTTTTTAAAAATGTTTATTTCATTCATCATGACACCCTCAAGGTTTTATTGCACTAAATGACAAATATTATTCAATATGTGAGGCAATACTTACGTGAACAGTGTGACAAATCCTACACTACTTTGAATATTTTGAATTACTTTGAAGAATCACTTAGCATGTTCCAAAACAAATTATGTCACAGGGAGAGGTGACAGTGGAAAGCGGACGCTACGAGGTGCGTAGGGCACGCTTGCAGCGCTCCGCTGTGGCCTCAGTGCCCTTGCAGACCCAAGTGTGCTGCCTGAGCTTTTCTCCTGCAGAGGACAAACTGTTACTAGGTTGTATTGATGGTTCCCTTGTGTTATTTGATGAAGCACGAGGAGTCACCCATGTGGCAAAGGCTGCATTTGTAAGTACTCTCTTTACATCAGAGATATTTTGTGGTTAATAGGATAGGATTTTCAGAATTTCAGAACCCTGTTTAATATTTTGTAATAGTTAATGTTCCTAAATAGAAATTAAGAAGCTTATTCATGAACTAATTTACTTTTAACTTTCTTTTATTTATAATGTTATATTACTAATGTGACAGACATATTTTAACAACTTATTATGTACAGAGATCTCTAAAATTTGACTAACATCTGTGATGAACTAGTGAAGATCTTCCAATCTAAATTATTTTGTCATCCTAGTGGATTTCGCTAAATCCTTGAGATAACTAGCATTAATTTTATGATCTTTCACTATTTTCTGAGAAAAAAGTATGGGTGTTGACAGTACTTAACCAGCATGTAACTTTGTTCACTTTGAACATGAAGAAAGGTATTGTTAATTGTAAGTACAGTTATTTAAAACCTCATTTCATTGCAGTAGATTTATGAAAGCATATTTATTTACTTTATGGCACGCCAATCGGCCTTTGTACATATAGTAACCCAATTTATAACCAGCACTGCACAATCACATCCAATACACTTAACAATTCTAAATACAACCAATCGGTGCATATTAATTAAATTAAATTGAGATTAAAAAACCGTAAGTATCAACATCATATTGTTGTGTTTAAAATATTATTTACGAAGATTGTTTACAAAGATGTGTCTGACTAAATAGTAGTAACATTTGCTTCAAAGTTGATGCTTAGAGCACAATGTTCTTTTTCTTCAGATCTCCTCATTGGTATCCTGGCATCCTGGAGGAGCTTTGGTCCTTGTAGCCAATGACAGATGTCAGATCCAGTGTTTTGATGCTGCCCTAGCTGCTGTTCGTCACCAGCTTGCTGGTGGCGGAGAAGATCCTCCGCCTGGTGCCTTGCTTGACTTAGCTACGTATTGTGGTCGTCGTCCTCCTACCCTGAGATCTTTAACGTGGGCAAAACCCAGTCGGCGCATACATGCACCAGCATCTGGCGTCTTTAGCCCAGCAGATGGTTTGCTGCTTCTTTTGTTAGACAGGTCAGAATTCTAAGAAGTTCAAAGAAATGCTCCTCCTGTTAAACAAATAGGAGGAGTTGTTTTTATTTCTTTAAGTTAACTGATTTGTTTATGAAAGGTAATTTTATTTTGGTTCATGAATTAACAGCATAATTCAGTAAATGTTATTTAGAAAGAGGTTGGGTCAATATTGTTAGAGACAGGATAACTTCAAATTGCATGAAGGAACCAAACTAGTTAAAGTGAAATAATTATCTATATAAACAATAGAGAACAAAATGGTGTAATCTCTAGTTTTGTCCTAAAATTGTCTAGAAAAAAGAACATGAGAATAACAGCCCAACAGAAAAATGAAATTATATGGCTTCACGTTAATGTTTTAAAAAAATCATGACAATTTTCCACAAATATGTGAACAAGATTTTCTCACAAATGGGTTAGTTACCAAAGAAATTTATGTTTTCAAGTTCAAATCCCAACTCAGTTAAATATTTTTGTGGTTTGGAAAAATTCTCAGAGGGATGTGTTAAAAACATAATTTAAATTGCCTTTTGAGAACCATGTGAGAGGCCTAATCAAGGAAAGGCAGGAGAAATGTGAATGTGAAATGGAGAATAGATTAAGTTCACATACAACCAATCAAAATTTGTGTATTCCCTTTTGATACAATTTTCCCCCCCTGAATCAAGATTAGGTGTAGCAGAAAATATGTTTTTCACCCTGAATTTTTACATTTAATGTAAGAAAATATTTATACAAATCAAAACCTTGTGCTTTCCACATTTACCCTTTCCATGGCAAATACAGTTAATGAAAATTTGTACAAAATGAACCAAAACTAAATTAAACGAAATATATTGAGCATTTACTGTTATATTCTAGAAAACACATTTTAAAATTCACACTCACTTGATCTCTCAGATGATTTGAGTTATTCTTCTAGTAACAGAGCAACAAAGAAATTTTTCAGAACACTGTCCTTCCCAAACCTCTCTGTTATCAGATGACAAAACGTCTTGTTCCAAAAAGCTTTATGCTGTCATCGCTAGAATAGTCTCAATCAAGCCGAGCACAGTGCAGAATCCAAAAAATGGAACATTTACTGCAATTTGCAACTGGTACTTGTTTTTAGAACTGTCAACCATTATATTTTAATAAAGTCGTAACATTTCAATGCCCGTAAATGTGTTTAATATGTTTGTGGCTGAAAAACTCTATTATCAGTTTGTGAAGCAAGATAAGCTAAAATGTTATTGATGTATGGTACACAGTGAAATGACTACGTGTACTTGGTGAATGTTTACTTGTGTGTGTGCTGCAGGGTTAAATGTAACAAAGATACAGAAAATTTTCTGGTCATTTAAAAGTTACAAGATTCATCTTCCAAGTAAAATAAGAAATCTTCAATGTTGGATGACTTATCACTTAAACTAATAATTAAACTAGTGACTTAATGTGAAAAACAAAAAAGTGTTTGAAGCCACATAAGATTTGATCCACAAAATCATTTTCTACTAAATATATTAGTTTTTGTTCACAAACGTCCATTCATCCTAAATGCATCACCTGTCCTTCCAGTAACACGTCTTATCTGTGCCCCACTCTGCCCAATCATGCTAGGCCCTGCACTGCTCCTCTCTACCCCATCCTGCCTCTACATGACCTGAAACAATATCACTGCCTAGATGCATCGCAAGTTGTATCAAATCTCGTAACAAAATGTCAGTGTCGTGACCAAATTTGGGGTAATATGTTTGGAATGCAAAAAATCTCTAGAATTTCTCTTTGCTGCTCCACTGTATTTGTGCAAAGTTTTGCTGTAAATGTTTGTATGGTTTAAAAGTTATTGTGAAGCATACACATAAATGTCTTTATTAGGAGTGAAGGGATGGCAATTGACACAAAAGTATATAAATTCATTTTTAGATATTTAAATTTTGTTACTAAGAATATTACTACTTTTTTATGGCATTGTTGTACTTCTTATATCTTCTCTTCAATATACATTGCTGTATGTGAAGTAGTGAGGATAAAAAAAGTGCTAGTTCATATTTGTGTACTTTTTGTCAGCCAGAAGAAAAAATAGATTTTTGCAAATCCACGCAAGTCTCTGTTTCTATATACACTTGTTGCTGCTTTCTCTAATATACATTGAATCAATTGGATACATGGAATCAGTTTTGTTTGGGATGGGGAGGGATGTTAGGGACCTTTAGGTTTATCAGTAAGTTGGTGTATAGACCTTCAAAGTGTAGGCAGGCAAACTGTGCTGAAGGTGTTTCTATTTAATCTTTTGCAGGGGCCCCTTGGCAGCTCTTCGTCTGGTAGGAGGGGCTGCTGCAGGGGGTCTGGGAGTGGAGGCCCTGGTGTCCCAGTACCTCTCCTTAGAGTTGCCTGACCGAGCTCTTGCCCTGCTGCTCACCTTAAGTTGGGACTCAGCTGGGGAATCGTGCCTCTGCATTCTCCAGCGGATCATTGAACATTTGTTGCGGGTGCCTCTTACACCTGCTACTGCAGGTGTGTGCTTCATTCTGCTTTATGCTGTTGGGGATAATCCAATTAAGTTTTTTCTAACTGCAACAAGAGTACTTTTTTGATTTCATATTGGAGAGAAATTCTTCTTTTGCTGCTCCTCCTTCTCCTCCTCTTCTTGTAGTCTCCTCTTTTTCCTTCTTTCCCTGCTTATTCTTCTTCCCTTTCTTTCTGTCTTTCCTTCCTTCTTTCTTTCTTTCTTTCTTTCCCTCTTTCTTTCTTTCCTTCTTTCTTTCTTTTGGTCTTTCTTTCTTTCCTTCTTTCTTTCTTTCCTTCCTTCTTTCATTCTTTCTTTCCTTCTTTCTTTCCTTCCTTCCTTCTTTCATTCTTTCTTTCCTTCTTTCTTTCCTTCCTTCCTTCTGCCTTAAACTTTTTTCACATGAAAAAATGTTGTACTGTACAAACAGAATAATGTTCAATAGAGTACAGAATATGTACCTCGAGTACACATGCAGGAAAGAAGCATCTCAGTGATGCCAGTTGTTCTTGAACATACTGAGAAAATTTTTATCTGAATGTGACTGTTAGATCTGCATTAATAAGGTAGAATCCAATATGACAAAAAGTTAATTGATTTTTGGGAAGTTATTTAATTGGTGATATTTTTGTTATTCAGTGAAATTTTGCAGTGCCCTTCTGTAAAGGAAAGTGTGTTGGTTGTGAAACATTTTAATAAACTTACTGAGATATTTTAAATAAAATTTTAATTTTGACAAACCCTGGAACTTTTGGAAGTGTTTCCTTAGAAATCAAGTTTTTTGATGGGCCCTGCTTTAGTACCCCCTTTTTATTCATAGGTCATTATGATAGTACATCATTAGACATTAGGTTTCCATTGTTATACATCACTTCAGATCTTAGTTTTAAAAACTTTAGTTAATCTGTTTGATTTGATTGTTGTTGTTTTTTTCCACAGGGCTACTGCAGTCAGCTCTGGGGTGTTTTCACATGCCATCACGTCCTATGAGTCCTGCCACAGAGGTTCAGTATTCTGATCAAGTTCGGGATCTCACTCGAAGGTTTTTCCACCATTTGCTGAGGTTTGTCTGTGTCTTCTCTTGTTCATTTGAGAGATTTTGGAAATTTTGAGAAAGTTTCAAATTGTCTTAGCTTGCAGACATAAAAAATTATCATCTGATCACTAACTGTATCTTGTGTGCATGTTTTAGATATCAACAATTTGAGAAGGCATTTCGACTAGCCATTGACCTACAAGACAGAGACCTGTTTGTGGACTTGTATTTCTACGCCCAGGCTGTACATGCAGATGCAATGGCTATTGCCGCACGTGAGAAAGCCCAAGAGCTTCTTAATCCAGACGGACAGGAAAGCAGTAGTGGCAGTGAAGGTATGTAATCATTTAGCTTAAATAATTCACATTATTACCACTTTAAGTCACAAGTGCTTGGTGACCGGTTGAGCCCAAGAACCCAGGGTATTTAGAGGTATTTTAAGTGACATCAGTAATTATTTTGGTGAAAAAAGTGCATAAATCCTTACTATTTGTTGAAAGTTTTGTGTTACGTAAGCTTCGCGGTTGAATCCATCGAATTCTCGGGCTATCCGGGAAGACGCGCGGTCGTGGCTGGGGTGCCGATCGTTTCGCCGACATTTCGCAGGCTCCTCATGGGTAGTGATACCCTGAGGAAGCCTGCGAAATGTCGGGCGAAACGTCGGCACCCCAGCCAACGACGCAGCGTCTCCCGGATAGCCGAGAATTCATGTTGAAAGTTTTGTTTTTTGTTAGTAAAAAACAATTGGAAGATTGTGTCAATTTTTATATTTTATTCACCTAATTGAATATATTACAAAAATACAGCATAAACAAATCTGCTCTACAACAATATGTATTATCGTAAATCCGTTATCGTAAATCCGAATTTTCTCACATTTCATCCAAAGTGTCAATAATAATTGCTGAATGATTTATCAAAAAGTAATGAATTTGTGTGATGGTCAATATTCAGAACTCCTATCACTACAAGTTACTACAAGAAGCATGTGACATAACCAGCTAGAATTTCATAGAATAATTCTCAAATTGACAAAAAAAAAAATGGCAGCATAATTCAGCCACATCAGTGGGTAGATCTCAGTGCCCCAAACCGACATATACTTGGGCACTTGAGCTGAAAGACAAGAAATCATGCGCCCAAGCGATGCTTGGGCTTGGGAATCCCAAGCATTAATCAAAGTCTGAGTATAGGTTGTACTTGGGCTTAAAGGTGTTAAAGTGCAATTTGACATGCCTCATTGCAGAACAATAAATAAATTTATTCATGGCTTATTTAAATGTTTAATTTAAAATGTCATTAAGTAATCAATGTGTTTGTGCCTGTTTGTAAAACAACTTGGCTACATTAGTGCAAATTAGGGACTTTTGCTTGGTGAGCTTGCTAAATTGTTGGCTTTGTTATTAACTTTATTGATTATGTCCAAGCACAAGAAGATCCATTTGTTCCCTTGTCATGAGTGATACATAATCTTGTGTAGTAATAATGCAGCCTATTTTGGTTTTATTTTGCATTGGTCTATTTTGAATTATTGAGTCTCTTCACAAATTTTTTTTATTCAGAAAATATAATTGAATCAGTGATTTCATGTTTTATGAAAGCTTTGAAAGGACACAAATGTGAATCGGTTCCAAAATTACATATTCAACTTTTTACAGTGGAACCCTGTTAGCATTACTTGTGCAACTTTTCTTGAATGATGGATTTAAGAAATGCGGGTAGATGGGGTATTGGTAACGAAATTGGCCACTAGATTTTATGAAGCACTGCCAATCTCTGCAGAATCAGTAATGCCTTCACAACGTTCTCAATAATTGTGTTCCAACTTTCTCAGGAATTCAAGGTATCTCCTGTGATGTATATTCCCTTGCAATAGTCATTTCTTTAGATCTTTTGGAGAAAATCACTGACAGAAATTTTCGTCTTCAACAGAAAATAGTTTTTCACACCAGTGAAGATGTGTTTGAAATGTCATCAGTGCTCGCTGCAAGCTTTTGTCATCAACTGTTTATTGTGACAGAGGGGGAAACAAGGTCATTGTTTAAGAAGAGTTGTGGGAGTAATATGTTTGTGTAAGGAACCAAAACTGTTTAAAGTCATAATCCAAAAATGTTCAATTTTTCAATATCACATTTCCTTCTTTAGAACACGAAAATAGGGAATAGAAAGTAATTTACACACAGAAATATATCTGTGATAAAAACACATTTTATTGCAAATAATGATTTAAAAAATTAAATTACATTCATTGTCAAAGGAATGTGTGGTAGTAGAATATGACACAAAGAACAAGGATGGAAGAGGCACAATACATATTTCTCTGACTTTGGGTTTGTAATCAATCATACTTAAAATATCCTGATCTCTCTCTGAGAGAATTTCTTATACTCTCCAGTACCTTCCAAGTAATCTTCTTTACAAATGCCTAAAACTACTATGGAAACCACTCATTGAACACGGTGCACCAGAAAACACATGAATCACTGAACAAAGCAAAACTTTAAACAAGTTAAGGTAGATTGTTAAACAAGTATTTCACAAAATAGGAACAAGGATCGAAAAATATGGGCATGCTGTGTAGGAAGACGGGGTAATGAAGAACATGCTAATGAGATTGCTCTGTATAAATTTTAAACAAAAATAATCTCAGTTCAGTACCACTTCCTGAACATCTGTGGTTCATTGTGCTGCATGTTGGCCTCTACCCCATGTTTCACTACATTAAGAAAACACTATTATCCAAAACTTTCCATAGTTAAATATAATACTGTTGACTAATATACATGACTAATATACAAGAAAACTAAGACATAAAGGTTGCATAAACCTTGCATTAACTTTTGTGCCAATTAGAGGTGGTCTGTAATTTATGTGATGCTAAAGAGGGATGGGGGTGGTTTAGGCAGCGTGTCGCTGCCTTATATAGGGGTAAGGAGTGGTAGCTTAATGTTACGTAATGGTTTGTTTTTTTAAACATTAGCTGAAATAATTCTATGTAAGTAGTAGAGACTAAAACATTAAGATATTAATACATTTTTTTAAAATATAAATAAATTGTGATGTAATTGTTACGATTAAGGGAAATATATTTCATCTATATTGATTGAATCTGTTAGATTGCAAAGATAATATTCAAAACTGATGTGTTGTCAGAAAATAGTCAAAAATGAAGTATGCACCTATGCCTCACCCCTTCACTCAAAAATTGTCTCCTGTCTTATTGTTAAGTAAGGTCGACATCACCAACTAATTGTAACTTTATCATAAATTTTAATATCTATCTTGAATAAAATTATTACAAATGGGTTTTTTCTGTTTTGAAATATATTTTTCTTTACTGTAAATGGGGAAGGGGGGTGTCACAGGCCTTATTAAATAGTTTTATTCAAATATGTGTTACAGACAGAAGACATTCAAAATACTCAAAATTTGCGTTACATAATGAATGGCCTCTTAACCACGAATGCACAGTGATTTGGTCAAAAGTCTTACAGTTACAATCAGGATAAAACTATGCACTGAACAAACTACTTTTCCCATAATAAGGGAGATACAGCACAGTTGCCATGGAATTACTTATTCATGCCATTAAGTCTCTCAAATTAACCTTTCAGTGGTCTGAGGGAGTTTGTCAAACCCTAAGGTATATAGTTTTACAATTCCCAAAAGATCACATTGCATGGTAAATTCTTGTAACTTGAATCTTTCAGATTATTCTTGAAGTTTTGATTGTTGTTTGGATTTCATTTTTCTTTTAACTCTGTTGTGTATTAATTGGTAAGAAATCAGTTCAGGCAAAATTGGACATCTCTCTAAAAAAACATTTCTGAAACTTACAGTTTGACTCTTTTATGTGGTAATTTTTTTTTTTATGTATATTAAATGTAATGTAATACATGTAATTCAATGTAATGTAATACATGTAGTGTAATTAATATTAGAATAATTGACTGTGGTTTGCAGACTCATGCTCCTGTTCAGAGAGCGGCAGTGCAGGCAGTGGAGAAGGCCAGCAACCCTCCCAAGAGCCTCCTCCACTTCCGATTGCCAAACCCAGCAGCCAGCTCTCCACAGCTGAAGGCCGCCCTTCTGGAGAGAAACAGAAGGTCAAATTCTCAGACACTGTCACCCACATTGCTCTACCTGTAAGTGACTATGTACTGTTTTACAAAAATTTTTATCATTGTTGTGTATTGTATTATCTAATCATTTTCTCTCCATAACTGCTTGCAAGGACCTGCTCATAGAACAGTTTTCAAGCTTGGCAAGTCAAATATTGCATACTAATTACAGGTGCTGGATGTACAGGGAATAACATGTTCTAAATATGTACTTACATGAACTAAAATCTACAAATACGGACTAACAACTGAATAAAAAGATTGAAATATTGTATTAATCAAATGGTTATGGTTCTTAAATAGAACTGAAAAGAACTCACATTAGTATTATCTACACAATAACATTAATTTATCTACTATCATGCGCACAACATTTTTTTATTGGGAGTGAATTCCAGATTTATTTCTAACTGATTGACCACATTAAATTGCACTTTGAAGTCAAAAATAAATTAAGAATAATTGGAAGATTCTAAAACGGAACATATTGCCATATAAAATGTTTGAAATATGCAAAATATGCGAGTTTCTCTTAAATATTTTAAAGTATGCATTATTCCTGGAATATGGAAGAAAATCAAATAGGTTTCAAATCACTTTAAAAAGAATAATTCTTAAACATATGACAAAAGTTCAATTGTAATCCTAGCCCTGCTAATCAGTAACAATGCTCTTAATTAGCTAATAGCTATCTTGATGAATGAGAGAACAAAAATGAAGAATGAGTGGCAGGAATGACAACATTCTGCTAGTAGTTGAAATGTCATGTTTGAATTGATTATGAATGTATTTTGGCATAAAATATGTAGGCATAAATTATGCCTTTGACAGACTCAAGGATGTGTTATGTTAAGCACATAGGCTGACAGGCTCATTATGAATTTTGACACTCGTAGCCAAGTGACAAGGATGGCTTGGATTATATGGCAAAAAACTACTTTGGAATAAAATGAGTTGCAAATTGTGCATTGGATAGTCTCGAGGATGCTTAATGTTACCACCTGGATTTGTATTATCTGCACGAAAGATGATCCTGTGAATGCAGGCAGAGCTAGAGTTGATGTCAGGGAACAAAGGAACATTGTACTTCGCTCAGATACAGATCTTCACTAGACCATGAAACAACTATTATACCTAGACTCCCCAATAACATGAAAACAGGAATTGAATGATATTGTTTACAAGTTGTTTGAGTGCACTCGCATAGAAAAGCTTTTATAGTTTAAGTGAAATTGAAAATACTTTCACCAGTAAAGCATAATTAACTTCATTGTAAATATCAAAATTATACTCTTACTACCACTTATCATGCTCTCTTAATTTTCAATAATCATCCATTCATACTCCCTGACATTTTTTGACTAACAGTAGAGCCCAATTAAGAATGGCTTTATTGTAACTGCAGGGAAAAATCACGAAAAACTGCTATTTACCTCATTCAATATCAAGACTGATCTTCAGAGATGGAATTCATCAAGTAGTAGGTAGAGATCGTTAATGTGATGATCCTTTTCCCTCTTAACTTTGTGATTCTACCTCTGCTGAAAAAGATTTTTGGTAAACATTACATTTTTAGACGTCTGCAAATATAATTCTGGCAAGTTATAATGTGTATTTAAAGTCCAAAATTCCACTGTTCCATTGCTTGTTAGCAGTAATTAATTCAGACATTGATTTTTGCAGGACTCGTGCTCTAGTGATGCAGGTGGTAGTCCCCCTCTCATGCTTTCAAGTGCTCCTTTGCGGTACGTCCCAGCATTACCCAGTGCTGCTAGTCGTCGCAGCATGGAACTGCCAGGAGCATGGCCTCGGTCTCGAATAGAAGAACTACCTCTCCTAGGCTCACATGGAGCACATTTAGTGACTCCTCAAGTGAAGAGAGCGACTGCACGTGCCTTGCCTTACACTTCAAATGGTGCTGTGCTTCAAACTGACTTGCTCTTGAAAGGTGTCCCTCGCACCGTGCCTCAGTACAAACCTACTCCCACAGGTGGAAATAGAACATGTATTTCTCAAACCCCAAATGCATTTCTTCCAGGATCAAACATTCCAGTTCACAGTGCGTGTAGTGTACAGTACACTTCTATTCCACGTCACAGTGTTCCTCACCCAAGTGTGAGACAAACTGCTTCAGTGTGTGTGCCATCCTACAGACAGCAAACTCCACCGCTCCCGTATGGCAATCCTTTGTATGCAGGTGTGGTTAAAGAACCACTTCCACGGACAAGTCCACATTATTCTCGGAATCTAGTTGTGAATTCTGTGTACCCAAACAACAAGGAAAATTTTCCACAAGCTTTAAGTCATTCTTTGACATACCAACAATTTATGCAAAGCAGTAGTCCAGCTACTGAACATTCAGATCGTGATGGTTTGGGAAAAGGCACCCATCTGGATATTCCTGTTCAGCATGATCAAGAAAATGGACCTTGTAGACGCTTACAGGATTTAGTGTCTGGTAAGTAGACTGGTGAAAATTTGCTGAAGCTGTTACTTTAAAATGAAGTTTTAAAATAACAGGTATCCTTTGAATTAGACAATAAATTACTCTATAAGAAGTAAATATTTTTATATTCCATTATATTTGAAAAATGATGCTATAGATGTAGAAATATTACTGCTTTCTGCTCCATCTGTTGGCAAAAGTTGTTTAGCATGAAGTAGCTTCTAATTCTAATTTTTTTAAATAAAAATAATGAATTAATGTTTCACAATAAAAGTTCAAAATTTTACTTTGATTTGATTGCAGATTCATTACTTGCTTTTGCTCACAATGTATTAATTTAAAAATGTATGTCTTAACTTTCTTCAGGCTTGAACTACCACCTGTTGAGAGTATGGCATTTGCTTCGGACCATTCCAGAATTTATCTATAGTTACATGTTTCATGAATGTATTATTTACATCTTTAGGTATAACAGGTGTAACATATTTTGTAAATTAATAAAATGTATTAATTAAGAATGTTATAGAAGAGAAACTAGTAAAACCTGGTCCTAAATGCAAATTTTCATTAAAAAATTCGGAGCTGTTTTTGAGTATTTTTGAAAATGTGCTATTTTGAGCTCTATACCAAAAATGTTTTTGAGAAACTTCATGAGAGATCATTTGAAGCACTTACACTCACAAAATCCAAAAATGTATATATTCATTATATCTTTTAAAGAAAGCCTGTATTATAAATATTAACAACATTTAAGAGAGATATTGCAAAAACAATTACTTGTGTATAAGTTTTGAATAATCAAAAGAAAACCTCAAAATGGTGTTTGTAATGTTATTCAAGGCATTCAGCACTAACTGTACAAAAAGTAAAAAGAAATATTTTGTTACCATTTTATTAATGATTATTTAAAAACTAATTGTAGAGAACAAATTTTATTTGCAGAAAAAATCTTCAATTATTTAGTTGAATGAGGAGGTCCAAAAAATTTGAAACTTTTGCAATTTTTTACAATTTCAAAGCAATAGTGAAAATCGATCCTATGCCATCCTTATAAGCTGGGTAAAATATATTTTGAGAAAGGGAGGGGGAGGGCGGTAGCCCAAATATTATTTTCATGTTCTTTAATCTATTGTTTAATTTTCCTTTTTGTCTGGTGTATATAAGTCAGAAAACAAACAAATATAGTACATAAAAGACAATATTTTCGTTTTCCAAAAATTGGAAAAGAATATTTAACATTTCTAATTAGTTGTTCCTTTTTGTTAGTGTTTGTAATTTTGATGTTGATGCTTGAGTTTTGGCTTTCTTTTTAAAACTTATCTTGAAACTTTCGGATTAAAGTCATTTAAGTAGTTTAACACTGATCAGAATTATCATCTTCATCAGAACAAGTAGACAATTGTTCAAAGGTTTGGGAAGTATTAATATGATTGAACTCTCCAAAACGCTTTGATGTTATTTTCTTAATGAAGTGGATAGTATAATTGTTTTCTATCAAAATACCATTTACTGTATACAGATAAATTCTTTGTGTGGTATGAAGACTCCAATAATTTGATTGCAAGATCAACAACTCCTTTCATATATTGAATCAGAAAAGCAGAAAAATAATTTGGTATGTGGCTTGAAGAATAGTAAACCAATTATCCAAAATTTTATCAAATTGCAAAGATATTGAAAGAACTAAGAAATTAAAAGTCTGATTAACTGACCTTCTTAAGGAAAACTGAATTGCAGAAATTATATACTTTATGATCAAAGTAATAACGTTTTTTTCTTGTGAATGAATGACAAATGCTAAATTACAATCTTTGTTTAAAGAAAGATCTTAGTTTGTAAATAAAACTCCTAATTTCATTTCAGGCATACAATTTCAGAGAAAGAAAACTGATTTAAGCAAACTCTCTATATACAGGAGTCCCAGTGAGTTGTCTATAAACTTCTCTTAAACCTCCCCTCCCCCTCACTAAGGGTTAATGTTGGGCTTCATTCCACTTCCGGTTTGTGCCTTCGGAAAAGATGGCATTTTCCTCTTCAGAGTTTCTCTTGAAACATGAATTCCTTAAAGGATGTTGTTTTTCAGTGCTTAAAAAAATATTGATTATTGTACTAATACTTATGTTCAAATATGGTGAGCCATCTCCTTTTGTTTCGTACTTACATATTTTTAATTTTCCTTTTTTTGGCATAAAATCATAATGATTTTTATCAGTTTTTAATGATTTGCATCAATTTTATTGATGATAATTAGTAATTAACAAAATATGTTACAGCTGTTATACCTGATGTGACTAATAAATTCATAAAACATTGTGTAATCATATCTAGTATAATTTTTCAAATATAATGGAATAAAAAAAGATATCTACTTACAGTGTAATTGATAGTCTTTTAACTAAAAGGATATTTCCCATTTTTAATACCGGCCTAAGACAACCATTGTTGATGTTATTTTTACAAACTTTATTTGAATTTTAAACCTTTTATTGGGAATCACAATGATTTAGTACAATATATGGCATTCTGTGGTATTATTTTGCATAAATTTTTGCACTTTCTTAAAATTTTTTATTTATTTATTTGCATGAATCAATGAACTATTTGCTTTATGATGTATATCATGTATTTCAATTTAGCTTAATTCTAATTTTTTCTTGAAATAATGAATTCTGCTAAGAAAAAATATTGAACATACTTATCTTTCCTACAATCCAGAAAGTATAAATATAAATATATCATTAGAACATCTCAAAAGAAGCAATCATTATAATCACAATGATGGGAAAGCTAATGTTTGTTTGTTTTAAAGCATTAACTTGCCACCTAACACAATATACGTAATTAGTGATTACATTACAGTTCATCACATACCAATGCAATTGACTTCAATGCAGTGTAAAATGTACAATAGTGTGTTCAACTACTATCTCTTATATCAGTCTCTTATATCATCTTCTTTGTCAATGTTACTCAGTGCATTTAATCCTCTCAGTGCAAAATTTAAAATAAAAAAAATAGTTTTTCTTTAAATTTAACAAAATTAAATTTCTTTAAATTTGTTTTTTTTTAATATTGCTTGATTTCACGCAAAATTAAACAAAACTACAAATATTTTCAAAAAAATGTACATGGTAGTAATTAAAGAACTAATTGGGGAGAACAAATTTCATTTGAAGAAAATTTCTCAATGTTCTATAATATAGTAATGTAAGATGGTCCAAAAATTTCAATCAATTTTTGTAAATTTAGACTTGACACAGTGAAAACCATACAAATAGTCTTTATGTGCATTTACTCGATTCTTACAAGAAATTTCGAGCCATTTTTGTGAAAAGTTTTAAAATATCCCAGGGGCTTCATGTAAAACACTCAAAATTCAAAGACTTCGTATCAAATTTGTAGAGCTATGAATTGGATTGATTGGTGAATATTCATTTTGGAAAAATCCTACTAATAATTCAGGTGCTAGTGATGTTCACAGACAGATCGACAGGCGGACATTTTGATAAAAAAACTTTGTCAATATCGAGAGACCCCAAAACATATTTCGATTAAAATCTCGAGTTCAGTTTTTCACAGCATTACAGAACTTTCTCTCTACTGCAAATATGACCCCATATGTACATGAAATAAAATTTAATTAAATATTTCTTTTTATTTTCTTTGTGTATCAGCGACTTTTTTTCTTTTTCTTTCTTTCTTTCTTTTCTTTTCTTTTCTTTTCTTTTCTTTTCTTTTCTTTTTTTTTCTTTCTTCCTCTTCTTCTTCTTCTTCTTTTTTTTTTCTCCAACTTTTCTTCACTAAGCTTCTCCCATTCATTTGAAAATAAATTGTTTTGATTGTGAAAAATGACCTTTCTACATCACAAGACATATTAGGAGCATACAATAGAATGAAATTTGCCATTCCACCAGTTAACCCTTCAATAGCTTCTACAATATTAATTCCTTGGTTTGAAATGCCTTTTTCACCCGCTCTCACTAAATTTCATAGGGCGCTATTGCACAAGACCAAGTACTTTGAAACCACTCCTGCAGCGCTCCTGAAGACGTATCTTATCCATATACCTTACAGTGGTCAGCCAGCTAACATGCAGCTGTCTCCTAAAGTCCTTTCTCTTCACACTGTAGTCCAAGTGTATAATACTCTTGAGACCACAGGCTACAAACTCAAAGAAATATTTTAAATGTGTTCTTTACTTTACAAAAGACTCACTTCATAGTTGCTTTTCTTCCAATATTCTGTGCAGTTTAACTATTAAACATGTGGCATTGATGTCTGTTTTTTGTCAGATTGAAAGAATATGACATTTTTCCATAAATTCTAATGTCAGAAAAATTTTTGCAAAAATTCTAAAAAAATTCTTAAAATGCTACTTAAAAGTCTAAATGAACAATGTTTTACAGGAAGATGATATATGCATTACATATGAATTTCTCCAAATATCCATGGGAAAAGATAATTTTCTATTTATTAAAAACATATCTAAATTAATACTCTTAAGTATACATATTTCAGCATTTTATCTCCAGTTCCATGAGAAATTCAAAAAGAGAAAAATTGAAACATGTTTTTAAATAGATGGTGTACAACTTTTGTGAGGAAATTTAAATTGAAGTAATACACAAAATATGAAATCAAACACATTTGTACCTTAAGATTTTCCTACAAAACAATTTTTATTTTTTACTGATACATTATTGCTTGTTATTGTCTTCAATATGGAGCTCTGCATAACTTATTGAATAACTTAACCTTGATCGAGAGGATCATGATTTCAAGATAAGTATGAAAACACTTGAATTATTTTCTCTTATTGACGGAAATATGAAAAGACAAAATGATGGTTAACATCTAGTTAATTAGTAAATTAATAAATCTGAGCATTAAAATTAGGATAAAAATAAAATCTATTTATCATGGACATTAACTGTTTCTAATGATCTCAGGCAGGATAAAACCTGAGGGCCGAAGGGCGATCTCGATCCCCAAGGGCCGATCATTAGAACCCTTATAATACCGTTAATGCAAAAATAACTGTTTTATTTTAACCTAGGACCAATAGTTTCAAAAATTGACATCTTTTTGCAATTGATAAAAGGCATGTGTATAAAATAAAAGCTGCTGTCACTCATTAACTATTAAAAAAATGTCTACATTTCTTTGGAACTCTTGAAGTTTGGGAGGAAGAAAAGAGATAATACTATAATTTTCTTAGAAATCGGTCAAGTAATGGGTAATTTCAGTTGGGTTGACCCAGTATGGAGAAAGATGTTGAGAGTAAGGGGATTCTATTAACCTGGTAATAGCCTTAAAAAGTCACATCAATTTAATACCAGCTTCAATAACTAGACTCATTGTGACATTGTGTTAAGGCTGGAAACTAGCACTGATGATTGGAAAATCACAATTTCAATCTGTGTAAGTGTCAGACTTTTGCTTGATGTGATGAACTTTATCAGTTTGTGACCTTTCTGGATCAAATTTGAAGTTCAATTATGACTGCTCTGATTCATTGGTCTGTGATTTCCCTGAATACATCCAGTTAATGCCAAGGCTATACCCAAATACAACACAGACTACGTGTGATCCTTCCTTTCCCATCCTTATGGCTGAGCAATGAGCTGAAAGTATATATCTGACAACAGTGATGCAAAGACATGCTGCATGAGCCCCAAAATACAGTTTTGTGTAGGGATGATGTCAATTAGAGAAGAGAGAGAAATTATCAGTTAACATTTTATGCAGATTATTGAAAAAGCTTGCAGTCAAAATACTAGTAACAAATTGTGATTGGATCCCGTAATTGATTTTTAACTAGGAACTTGTGCAGCTTTGGGAAAACCAAGAAATCTTATTATCAAATCTTGATTGTTGGTGTTGGCTCTGTTATTTAGTTTCCAATTCGGGTGTTTGAATTATTTCTGCCTTATCAATACATCTTCCATTTCTTCTTCATCTTTATTCCAACTTCATGCATTAATTTATTATTCCTCTTTGATGTATTGGCTCATTATAGTGAGTAAATATGCCCAGAACTTGGCTGAGAGATGACAAAGACTGACCATGATGCATGATACTTGGGATGTGAGGCATGACTAATGGGGACAATCCTTTGAAAGCCTACTGCTAATCCACCTGGTCCATGTTGCCCACCACTAATTCCAATCAAAGAACTAGGATCCAAATCTTTGTGGCAGAGGTGGAATGTGAGCAGACTGACTTCTGAACTTTTAGTCACATCCCTCGATTTCTTAAAATTAAATTGGTTATTGGGAAGCATGCTATTTGCCTTTTGGTGATAGACTGATAAACTTCATTCTTCCCCCAAACAATCAGTTTTCATTAAAAATGTACTATGAATGTTAATTTTTAAATTTAGTAGATTCTAACTTCTTTGTTCTCACCATTAATTTATTAATTTTTATAGAAGAGAATCTCAAAAAAGATAAATACTTTTTAAATGAAATCTTTAGCTGAAAATGATAGTTTGTCAGTATAATAAAGAAATGTATTTGTCCTTTGTGAAGATGCATAAGTATTTACTGCACCTCTTGAAAATTTAGAGAAAGTTATTATATTCTCAAGGTGTTGTGAAATCAGACATTCCACAATGCTTCTGTTGGTTATCCATATCTTGATATTTGAAGGAATTCCAAATTAATTTTTGAAATTTTGCTTAATTGAGGCAAACAATAAAACATTTAATTCCTTTACAAACTCATGCTACATTTCACTATAGGTTTGGCAACTCTTGACTTCTAAAGTACTCTTATTAATGGTAATAATTCCAAATATAACAAATTAATTCTGTTGTTTCTTAAAATTTGATCTTTAATTAATTATCAAGTTAAAAAACAAACAGAAAATAATAGCCTTACAATACACAAGCACACAGAATGTTAAAAGAAAAATTCAAAAGCCAAGGTATGTTGCTATATACTTGTTCATTTAATCTTTTTATGAAAATTAATACTATTATTTTGTGATTTTAATGATGATAAATTTTTTACATCTTTACATAAAAATTGAACAATTTTATTTACATAAAAAGGATTTTGTTATTAACCAAAATTCCGGCCCTATTGTTTATTGCTTCAAGTTAAACCTTGCTTATTACAGTGTATTTTATTAGCAAATGATAAACATAAATTATTCATATCTTATTTTTGGAGTTGAGTTGATGATCGTAATTGCATAGTAATTTTTTAAAAAATGGTGGCTGGAATGTTTATATTAAATGGAATTGAATTGATTTTGATTGATAACATTTCATAAGCAAGAGGCACTGAGAATTATTACTGAATTAACTCAAAAATATTGTCGGTGGAATCCCTACTAGATATATATTGAGAGATTTTTTTTTACCTTGGAGGTTATCAATTTTCTCAAAAATCTTAGATGTTAAGAAGACAGTTGGACCTGCTCACCCCCAGCCTTGTCATATTCCTTGGGCACGAAGCACGAAAAGCTTCTCATCGGAAGACCTGGCTGCCAGAGTTGGGTCTCCCCACCTCCATTTCTCAACAGCTCACCATAATCCCTGCTAATAAACCCTCCAGCAATGGTGAGGCCTAATTTAATGCAATATTAATCCTCTTCTTGTGTTTCTGTCTTTTTGTTTGCAGAAGTATTGGCATGAAAACTCTCATTTCTCTCCCTTAAAGTTCTAAGTAACAAGCTACAACAGTCTCTCATAAGATCTTTGTGTGTCTTTTGTATCAAGAACTAACATTAAATTTTATTTCACAGACGGTGTTCAGGAAGAAGAAAGTTTGCGAACAGGCAGCATCAAAGTTGTCCACTTTGGAGTGGTATGACAAATTGTCATTTTTCTCAACCTCATCCCATACATTATCTCATGTGATGTACAATACTAATGTGATAAAATTGGTGAAGTATGATTTATACTTCCTTGCCAACAAGAAGTTGGCAAAGTTAGCTCAATTTAATTAAATTAAAAGTATAAATGATTTTGATATCCGTCCTATGTCAATTATTATGCAGAGAAAAGTATTCTAAGAATACTTAACAAGATCATATTTAATCTTGTAATGTATAATATTTTTTATTAAAATTATTATTTGTGCCATTTTGTGTTTTAAGTTCAATTACAAATTGCTACCCTATTTCCAACCTCTATACAATCATACCTACCTTTACCCACTGAAATATAATTCAAATTGTTTCCATTCAGTGTAATCTCTCTCACTGTTAAAATTGCTTCTTGTTCTGCTGTGGAAAATGTCTTGTGCCTAAGTTCAAAATAATCTCAATTCATTGTCAAAGTATCAAGTTGTCATCTTCTGAAGATCTTCATTTGATATACACAATACAAATACATTCAGAAAGAACTGCTATTGCACTTCTGTGTTAACATATTCAATACTTATCAATTATTCAAAACATCTATTTGTTTCTGCCTTTAATTTTAGAAACGCACTGTGGTAAAAAATAATGAAAAACATTCTTGTCAATTCACTCCATTGTAAAGGAAATGAAATCTCTTGAATTTGAGAAGACTCACCAGTAGAGTCATTCACACAATCATCACTCTCTTCGCTATCGTTTTCATTGATCAAACTAGTCAACAGTCCTGGAAGAAAGTCATCATCCTCATCAGAAGAACAAAGTTCCAATCCATTGTTCAAAAGCTCTTGAATGTCCAATGTTGAAAGTCGCACTGAATTAATTTGATTCCTATATGTCTTCTAAACATCTATGTTGCTAACAGCATAAACGCTATTTACAAAGAAAGATATTCTAAATGGAATTGCCTACAACTAAGAATATCTAATCACATCCAGAAAAAATTTGCAAGTTCTTGCAACAAGTAGAACCACACATAGGTGATTGCCCGGTGACATTCGTAATGTTAAGAAGCATATTCTATGTGCCTATGAATGTCCATGAGATGTTTATGGCCTGCCAAAGAAGATAAATGTAGAAGAATGCATGACATATTTCCATAAGGAAGTATCAGATATGTCCTTAGGATTGAAAGGTTAACCTTCACCTAAAATAAAAGGAAATAAATGAGTACAATATTTGTTTCTTTGGGAACCTCATTAAATGGAAGTAAACTCACTCCTCTTTTTTCTTATTTTGTAATTTCTTTAATTTTCTTACAATTTCTTTTTATTTAACTTTCAATTCTAATAAGAACATTAATTCCTACAAAAATGGAGAAATGTTCATTTCGAAAGTTAAGAAGAGAATAAAAACATGAGAAGCAGTTAATTGTAGGAAGAAGAGGAATAGAGAAACTCGCAAGTGCATCTAACATGTTGAAGCTTCAATTTTTAAACTCTTACAGTTCATCATCATCATGAACATATAAGGTATAGGTCTTCTGGGCTGTTCCTTTGGTTTATCAATATCTCCTCAGTCACTTCCAAGGTTCTTGATCTTCCCCTTGTTTGTCTGCTAGGGCTTCTTCCTCTTCGTTTGTATTTGAGGACTTTTCTTGGGAAATGTTCTACTTCATTCTTTTGATTTGTTCTTGCTGTTTCTTTTGATAGTTTTCATTCTTCAAAGTTCAAATAGAATATCTCTCATTTTATGGATTGTCATCCCTCTTTTGAATGGATTAGTTTATTCTTATAAAATGTTTCCAAATTTTTCTTATACAATTATTAAAATTTTTTGTGATTAGCTACACAGCATCCCCCTAGGTTGAGAATTTTAATATGCTTGTAGCTGAATATTTTATATAAACATCCTTGTTTGGAATGTAAAAAATATAATGTGTAATTAAGTGACATCATGTACAAACAGGGGCACCCTGTTTCCCCATGGGGGCAGCTGGGACAGTTTAACCTGGGACCCAACCTAATTGGAATGTTATTCATTAAAAATATATAAAAAATATATTTACTTTTCATTCAGGATAACCACTACCTGTGTTTTCTCTGGGTGTCCTTGTGTCTTATTGCATTACTAGTCGATTGTCACACTCTTTTGCTTAAGAATTGGCTCAGCACTGTACATTCAGAAACATATTGATAAATTGTAAGGATTTGAATGTGATATAGAATGGAGCCAGGCTGTGGATTCAAAGTACAAACAAAAGTGTGAGAGTAGTTAGTGCCATGCCAAGATAGAGGCTTTGGACAAAAATTAACCAGTTATGTAAAAATCGTAATGATGTACAAATAGTACATTGTCTCAAGGCACCAGAGAAGAATTGTATATAACATATGTTTCCCATTTATTTTTATTTATAAATCAGTACATTTTCTTATCTTATCTTTCATTACAGTATCTTTTAATATTATCTAATTCAATATTCAATTCAACCTAAACTGAATGGAAAAGATGACATGGAATTTGAAACATGGAATCTAGCTTCAAGGTGTTGTCTTGATGGGGAAGTTATAAGTCTAAGTGGAGAATAAACTCAGAAAACCTGCATTTATTGTGATAAGAAACTATGCCCATTGCTTCAAAAATTTCCTTGAACAATATTTTTATATTTACATGTATATATCCATCAGGCTTAGCCATTATAAGATACAAATGTAATGGTTATAAGTAGGTGCCAGCATATTTGTTGATCTTGTGAGTAATTGATATCAATGAATCAACAAAAATGCCAATATTGCCACTAGTCTCATTTAAAAAAGTATTTACCACTTTCATTTAAAAAAGTATTTACAACTTACTCTTTTTGTTTGTAGACGCATTTTGTGTCAGTTCATGTAAAGCAGTATACAATGGAGTGAGCTTCGCCCTTAATTTATGTTGTTTGCCCACTATCTCCTCACTGCTCCTGGCATGTGTTTTCATTTGAGGAAATCCTACGGGGATTATCCAAACCCTCTTGATATTTTATTTATTAGAGCACTACAAATCCTGATGATTCACGTGTGGCAATAGATTCCTCACATTGATGAAACACAATACATTATTTTAGGTGGACCAAGACAATTTACTTTAGTAAATTAGTTGTTATAAAGTTAATTTGGATGTGCTACATCTTAAAACAAATATAAGTAATACTTATTATAAGATAGTCCTGTAATTGGGGGAATCTGCTGTTTCTAATATGTGAATAAATAAATAAAAATGAATACATAACATCCACTCTTTGACATATTCGGAACTTATAAGCTTATGGTATTATAACTCTAGACATTTTCTTAGATGTGTTATTTCCCTGTCTACATTCCCAAATCTGTTGTAATGACTAGATTTTCCTTTCCAAGTAGATAGAAATGAAAGTTGGAGTGAATGATTTCCATTAGTGTTCAAGAAAGGACGGAGGATGGGGAATCAGGGGTGTAAGTGCAGAGACCTCAAAAATTATTTGAGCCACTTAAATTGATAGTGTGAAGTACATCTTGAAAGAGTCAAAAGGCATCCACTGCAAGAGAAGGCAGCTTCATTTCTGGACCCCATTCTCCATTAACCTTCTTATTTACATATAATAATTTAATGCTTATAAATTTAGGACAATAGAACAATGTTAAATTTAATGTTGTTTCTTTGCCTTAAAGCTGATTGTTATAATACTTTTGTTTATCTTACATTTAGAGTAAATCCTGGAGAAAAGGACAAAGAGATGAAAAGTTATTTATCTAAATTGTGTTTTTTATTTAATGTGTCTCTGTTTTGAATAGTTTTAAAATGTATAAAAACTTCTAGGGGAAAAAACTATAAATAGAAACGTTATGTAGTTATGCTATTAAATATCTGAATTACCATTCGTATCCTCAATAAAAAAAATACTTCTTTAAAAATAATTTAAAGTAAAATGCATTAAAATTTTAAAAAAATAAAGTACGATAATTTTGGACGATACTTCTAATAATGTAGGATAAAATGTACTATAATTTGATATTGCTGCCGTACGACAGTAATAGTGCAGTACGCCATTCACTTTTCAACTATGGCAACACTTTCCATGGTGTGTGTCTCAGTAAAATTTCCTTGGTCCTGGCTGAAGTACCGCGCGACTCGCGTGTGGTCAAATTTTGTTGTTTACTCGTTTGTTTCCCTAGGGAAGTAATGGCGGATCGTGCTTAGAGTGACCGTCTGTTGTGGATTATTTGTTTGGTCTAGAAGTAGTCCTAGTGTGTTGATAAGTGTTCTGTAACGCTATTTTTGCGCTCAATTTCATATAAGGTGTGCAAGAGAACTATTTTTGCTTTATTCCAAGTTTACCAGAGAGTCGAAATAAATGGCGGAGAAACGCGCGCATCACAATGCCCTGGAGAGGAAACGTCGTGATCATATAAAGGACAGCTTCAGCAGTCTTCGTGAATCTGTGCCAGCGTTACAGGGTGAAAAAGTAGCTAGCAGAGCTCTCATTCTTAAAAAAGCTGCGGATTATATACAGTTTATGAGGAGGAAGAACTCTGCTCATCAACAAGATATCGACGACTTAAAAAGACAGAATTCGTTGTTGGAAGCTCAGATTCGCACGCTTGAAAAAGCTAAAGCTACGGGCAACTTCGCAGCCGAATCAAGTGAAGTTTCCCTTGTGAACTGTAAGTCTGAAACTGTAAATAATTACACACAAGAATCTGAATCTGATTCTTCAGACTCGGATACAGCCAACACTACCAGGAGGTCAAAGAAACCAAAAGTGACGGGCGCTGGATTGTAATTCACTTTGATGTATGTTTGAAATGAACACTGAACATTAAGAACCAAATTTTCCAGCTTAATCTAGCACTAGCACTAGATGGCTTTATTTTTGTTAGTGTAATAAACTTATTCAGGATGGCAATGATATTGGGCAACAAAGTATCACTGTTTATAATTTCAGAGTGATCATTATTTGAGGTTAGTAATATTCAAAAGTGTGTCACTGTACCTGAACTTGAATATATTTTATAATGTATGTTATGTACCTATTATACATGCATGTGTGTATGTACATAAACTACTTATATGAAAAATAACATCTGCCTTGTATTTTTGATAAGTCCTGAATCATGGTTTTAGATATTCAGTGTAAGAAACCTGACGTGTCGGTAACATAACAAAAACTAAGAAGTGTCATTTGGTATGCTGCAGTGTACCAAAAACCTTCATAAGATTCTGAAATAATTGTTTTATGAAGACTTGATGTAGCACTGACAAGCCAGATCATGATTAATCTGGATTACTGCTTCTCATAAACGTTACCCTGGGAAATCACCTAAGCAGCTTTAACAATCTAGAATCTATACAGTGCTTTGAAGTGTTCCCAAGTCTTACAATGTCTCTGATAAATCACGTTCACAAAAACAAGCAGATTTTGAATTGAATGGATTGTATAGACAATCTAATGATTAAAAAAACATGCATGTCTATCTCAATGGTACTTGTTTTATTTATTCATCGATGTGTATACTTATTTTTTGAGTTGGTGTGACACTGATACTTGGAAGTTCTCACAATTTTTGTAGTGAAATGTTGACCAATTATATCTGAACTTTGTATCTGTGGTTCATTCAATAAATAGGCCAAATTTTCTTTGTGTCAGTGTTTTCTTTTAGCAAAGTATTTCTTCCTCAGTTCTGCTGTTTAGGTATCTGTAAATGAATGATTGTTGAAGTACTGTACTTATTAACCAGGATATATTGTAGAAAAAACGAGTTTTATCTAATGGAAGTTAACATATTTGTATTAAAAATATTCAAATTGTCAAGCAATTTAAGAATTGTAATTTGATTGTACCTTGAATGCAATATTTTGTCATTGAAGTTGACTTGTCAAAATGTTGTCACTGACCTAAAGTTGAAAGAACTTCATTATAAGATTTATGAAGAAAAAACTGAACTAATAGAATTAATATTGGCCATCAAATAAGTTAGAGAAAACGGAGTTATGAAATGTTTCTTCATAATGGGAATGTGTAAAGAACTCTTTGCATAAGTTATATTTTCGTTTTTATAATTTGGCTAATAACCTGATTTGGAAGAACATTAAATTCGTTTTTGTGAAAAGTCACGTGGTGATAAAAAAAATTACAGCATTCTTTATCAATAATTCACTTTTACATTTCATCGAATATCTTTACAATTAGAATTCATATCTTAGGCAACAATACTTAAAATGCGCGTCAAAGGCTTGTCCCCAATGACTGTAACTGTAGGTTGATGTGAAAGCATGGGACGAGAGGTGACAGTTTCGCCATTCGAAGGTTGACCAACATTTGCAAAGCTTACTTACGATTACTTTCACAATACTTTTGCTTATAGCCTATTTAAGACTTAACAATGTATTTCATCATAGTTCATTTCAAAGGGCTTTGCTTGGTTGTAATGATAAATGTGAAAGCGCATCCATCTCTGCTTTTCTGCTTCGTGAAACGTTCTTTCGCAAGCGTTCCATTTCTGCTTCGTGAAACGTTCTTTCGCAAGCGTTGCCTAACTTGGGTGCCATGTGGACAATTTTGTATACTAGGATTTATTTAACCGTGCACTTGACGTACATCAGGTGTTCACGATTTCATCCAATCGGGAGTTTGAACGTCATTCTAGTGACCCCCGATTGGATGAAACCGCGAAAGCTGATCTACACCAAGTGCACGACTAAATAAATGTACTGTAGTAGGGTTTTCCATGTGATATGCTGTAAGGTCTTCATCGGCGATTCTCAGTCCAAGAAGTAATAAGCACAGCGGTAATAAGTACAGCGAGCGCTTAAACTAGATCGCTAGGCCAGTTTACGTTCTTTCTTCTCACCACCACTCAAGAAAAGTGAGAAGCAAAACTTTCCTGGAATATTTGTCGATGTCACCATCGTGCTGCTATACCGGAGTGTTTCGATCACATTCTCAACCGGAAGCCATCGGAAGGTACCGTCTTCCATGACTTCTCACTCTCAGATGCTGGATCAGCTGCGTGAAGATAAATCCGCATCTGGAATGTTTGGAATCCTGATTTGCCCACATTTGAAATGAAACAACCGTACCGTAGCTGTGAAGTCCCAACATAAATTGATTGTAGTCGTAATTCGAAGATAATTTAAAATTGTGTTTATAATGGCTCGTGTAATGCGTTATTATGTTTCTAAGTTATTTCAACCACAAAATATTGTTCCCAAGAATTCAGAAGTGAAATGCAATGACATTACGTCAAAGAGTCAAAAGGTATGAGTCTTGTGAACATTGCGTTTAGTAAATCATAACACGCAATTAGATACATTTTTTTTTTTATAAATATTTGATTTGTATCACACCTAGTTACTGGATGTGCACATTTTTTAGCTAATGATGGACATGGGAATTATCAGAGCAGCCAATAATGGATTCTTCTACATGTTACCTCTTGGCGAACGTGCATTGAGGAAGCTAGTAGATGTTGTAAATGAAGAAATGCATAGAATTGATGCCCAGAAATTGATCCTTCCTTCTTTGATTTCTTCAACTTTATGGAAAATGTCAGGTATGAATTTTAGTAATTCATAATTATTTGATTGTTGAATTCTGTTAAAAAATGAGTGATAAATGCTTAAAACATATTTTGCCTAACCAATCAATTGTATTTATTTTTATTTTTTTGTAGGACGGTTTGATGATGCTGCAGTAGCTGATGAATTATTTACATTAAAAGATCGCCACAACAAAAAATTTGTATTGAGTCCTGTGAGTACCCATCTTAATTACTAATTAAGTTTCTGACATGCTAAATTAGCTAATGATAATTAGTAGTTGATGAGTAGTAATTATTTTTTATTATGAGTAATTAATTTAAATTTCTCAGACCCATGAAGAAGCAGTAACTGATCTACTGGGTTCTATATCCCAGCTTTCCTATCGCCAATTGCCATTACGTCTTTATCAAATAACAAACAAATTCCGGGATGAAATGAAACCAAGATTTGGATTAATGAGAGCAAAGGAATTTCTTATGAAAGATCTTTATACTTTTGATACAAGCTTGGAAAATGCTAAAGAAACTTATGAAGCAGTAACTGCATCATACAAGACTATTTTCAACAGAATTGGAGTGAAGTATGTTAGAGGTGAAATTAAGGACTTCAGGACTTTTTATTGTTGTTGCATGAAAGAGCCAATGCATTGTTGAGAATTTTTGTTTGATTTTTCTGATACCTGAAGAACATGATGGATGATTATCTGTAAATAATTCTTGATCATAGATACAAGTTTTTAATATCACTCATTCCTAATCTTAAATTCTTGTGTGTTGATACTGAAGCAAGAGTAATATTCTACAACATAGAAGTAAATTATCTTTTTGTTGCGCCATTGCCAATCTGAATTTTTTTTTTTTTTTCATGTATATATGAGAGTCGTTTCAGAAATCTTGGCAACTATTTTTTATCTGTCAATAAAGCTGCATTAAACAAATCTCAGGATAGACATTTGAAAGGTGCTGAAATGTACTTTGCAATGCTTGTACTAAATCGGGATCTGGGTACAATACACTATGGGTAAATAGAAATCATTGTTTTATTTGCATTACATATGCACAAAACAAAACAGTATGTGTGATACGCATACTCTTGTAAGCTAACAACCTTCAAGACAACCCCTGAAGATGTCTACACATCTTTGCCAACAATGAGAAAGGCACTCGATACATTCGGTTGTATGCAATGTGTCTATGGGTGCCACCTCTCGTCAATGCACTGTTAGGATGTACTCTCTGTTTGCAATGCTCTCGATGCTGGATATCAACTTCCCGCACAATGTCTTCATTTTTGCTAATAGATCAAAGTTGCATGGGCCGAGATAAGGGTAGTATAGAGGGTGTTCCAAGATCTCCCAACCCCACTATCCCACAAGGTTCTGGTCACATACTCCTCCGTGAGTGTGGCTTATTGCATTATCAGAGAGGAGTATTGCTTTGTTGAGAAGCCCTGGTTGTTTCCTTTGCGGTGTACACCAGTGTATGCAGGAGGAATGATCTGTAGCAGTGACAGTTTGGCCCTCAAAAATACCTTGGCTGTCATAAGCCAAAATAAGCATATCCTCCATGGCTGATGGATTCCGTCGAAATTTGTTTTTTCATGAGCAAACAGGATTGCCTCTTTAGTTCTGACTCGTGAGCTTCAGCTCACATTTCATCAATTGCCATAATGTGATTCAACATCTCATTTCCTTCATGTTAGAATCACTTCAGATTGATATGATGTGTCTTGTATTGAGTCCATTTTTTACCTCAGTTAAAACAACTGTTACCCACTTTGCACAAATCTTGCACATCTTTGCCATTCCATAAAATGTGGAACAATGTCATTGCAGAGATACCGGTATATGTGGCTAATTCTGTCTTTGCCAGTTCAATGCCTTTCATCTGCTAAACTGTGTTCGATAATGGCTCCTTGCAGCTTGGCATGATACACATGAGCATTTCTTCCGCACAGAAATGCAATTTTTACCTGTGCTTGCTGTTCAACTTAAGTGACAACCATCTCAAAACATAGTCTCTAGGATACTAACGTTTGCACGAGTTGCTTACTAGACACCAATGCACTGAGATTGCATCTGGTGATCGCATCTTGTACTGTGTACACCATGTTTTCAAATGTATATAGTGCAATATCTGCATATGCGGTTATTGGGAATATAAACAATAGTTGCCATGACTCTTGAAATGACACTTGTATCCATGTACAACGTAATATTCATAGTACAGAGAGAGATATGTAATTCTGCAGAAAATAGATTTCAAAGAATGCAGATTTTGGGGTCCCCTCATGCTCGATTTTGTTTTTTCTTCTTTACACAAAGTTTAAAGAAAAACTTTGGAGCCGTTTTTGAGAAAATCTTGTCTTTAATATTGCCCAATTTCACTCTAGATGATACAAAAACTTTGAATTTATTTTTAAAAGATTACTTGATGTTAATGAAAGACCTAATTGTGAAGAACAAATTTCATTGGAAAAAAATCAGACTGATAGTGTTTCAGATAAAAACACTTTTTTGGTATCAGGGGACCCCAAAACTTGTATTTCTGTTGAAATCTCAGAATGGATTTTTTGGAGCATACAGGTAGTAATACACCACGTATATTATTACCTGTATATGTATGTATATGAGAATGGGAAGTAACAATTTTTTCGGTATCGGAAAACCCCAAATTGTGGGTTTTGATTAAAATCTCGGAGTCAATTTTCAGTCTTATAATAATGAATTTTTCTTTCAAGTTTTTGCTTGAATAGAGGGAAGTTTGTTGTTTTTAGGTATAGGTCTGAGTCTCAGTAAAACCTTAAGTACATCACATATTGTGAAAGCTCAACTTACTTTCAAACCAGGCACACACCAATACTGAAGCTAGAAGTTTTTCTTAATGTTATCTTTTCCTCAATAGTAGACCTATAAATAACATCATGTACATTTTTTTTTCTTTCTCCAAAATATTAGTGATGTTTATGAAATTTTTAGTTATATTATGAAATTTTTTCATCTTTAATCATTGCATTATTAAAAATGCTTTTCAGCATTTGAATACATTGTTCAGCTGTGTTCCTTTGTAATCCAAAACCCTCAATTTCAAATCTCAGCATGGGCAATGTTTCCTTTCAAACCTTTTTTAATAATACAGCACAATGGCTGTAAGATATTTTCATTTTAAGTTTTTTGAATTTGCATATAATTGAAGATTTGTATTTTTTAAAACTTGTAATACTACATTTAGTTAGGTGGTTTTTCAAGTAATGCCTTACGTGTTGTGAAGATATACATTGCAATATTGGAATACCTAAGTTACCAAAAATATAAGAAAGTATGTGATGTTAAAGTTTGTTATTTCTTATAAAAATGGTAGTGTAATAGAAGAATATTTCATAAAAAATTATAATCACTTTATTTCATTCATGATCAACTTCTTAAATTGCACATGGATCTCAGTGAATTTAATCTAGTATGTCAGGGTGTGAATTTCAAGTTTTATTGGTATTACTAATGTATAATAAAGTAATTGGTTTGAAGAATATATTAAGAATATATGAAAATAGAGCAATGAATGTCCTAAGAGTGTACAGTGATTTTAAAATATATCTTGTTTTATCTTCCTATCAGTAGGTAAGGTGTTTGTAGGTAATTTTACAATTTCTCTTTAACTTACTATAATCAGATATATTCCCTGCAATTGTGTGAAAGAAGGTCAGAAACTTTTCTTCATTTAAAGTTCTTTCCTTTCCAATTTCAGTTGCAGGTTTAACAGGTACTATAGGAGGTTCTCTTTCCCACGAGTTCCATTTTCCCTCAGATGTGGGAGAGGATAATATTTTTGTATGTAAAATCTGTGGTCATGGAAATAATGCTGAAGTATTCCCACATACTGCTCAGAGCACAGGGGAAGGAGATGTGAACAAGTGTGGGTCATGTGGAAATTCCTCTCTTTCTCATGTACAAGGAATTGAGGTAAATATACACATTTTATGTTTCTTTGAAAATGTTTCAGGATTGAATTTAGTATCAAGGACTTAGCTTGGCATCAGGCATTCCTTAATATCTTAATTGCCGTTAACCAAAGTATTAAGAAGAACTTCTGGATATATTTCCATTTAATTCTGTGTATTATTTAAGTTAGAAATCCATCTTACAATTTTGTAATAAGTTCAGGACTTTGCATACAGAATTTTCATGTTAATGCACAATTCAAAATTTGAAGAAAAATATTGTCTACACTTTGTTAACCCTTCAACACGGTGCCGAGGGTGAACGCAGAAGCATTGCAAGGTGGCTGCCAATTGAAAGGTGCGGTTAGCAGCACCGAGGGGGGGGGGGGGTAGAAAGCTCAGCGCATCCAGCGAGGCCTGCTGCGAGAGCATCTCAGCTCAGGCGGTGTTGCGCTCGCCAAATCTGAAACCGTGCTCTTTACTGTGAACACATCGCTTCAATGATAATGATAATGATAATAATAACAACAACAACAACGCAACAACACGCGCGACACCAGCAACAACAACTTCTTTAGTTTAGGGTCCAAGTAAATCGAAGACTTATCATCTGCTTCAATTCCGAACAATTCATATAATTATAACAATTTTGACAGTAAAACAACTCAACAACCAATTAATACACGTATATTACATATTTTATACTAGGAGTGAACTATTTAACACCGGTTTGTTTATATAAATTACTGATACATAATCGCAACTCATGAGGCTATATCTTATTCTACCAGTATGTAATATTATCATCCATGTATTATATACATGCACATTCACAGTAAATACATTATATTAAACAGTTTTATTTTTGAATTTCTAAATTAGAGTAGTTATTAGATGTAAGTTAATACATAATCACAACATATTATGCAATAACAGAATATTTTATTTGGTTCACTCATTATTAATATGCTTAATTTCACAGAAAATATTCTATGATTAATCAATTTTGTTTATATTTTTGTCTTGTTTCTTTCTTTCATTGTCAATAGAGTCCTACGCACAGTGTTGTTGGTCATGAGACCATAGGGTTGTTTAACTGCTGTCATGATTTAATTTGTTACAGCCTTTGTGGTTTTACTTTGGGTATTTAATGTCTTTGGATACCTCGTTGTTTAGATTAGGTATCAGGTATTAAACAGTTATTTTTCCATAACTGTTGAACGTTAAAGGCATGTTCGGCATGCACACCACCCCTGGCTTGTACACCATATCTCAGTAACGATTCGATTTGAGAGGTGTGTATGTTTTTCAAAATTTGTTCGTTTACAAAAGTCTGAATTGAATTCATACAGCCAGCTATCTTTTTTATTTTGTTGAACATGAAAATTATAATGATAATATAACTGCCCAACAGTTTCATTCATTTACATCAATGTTTATTAATAGTAGAATGTAATTAAGAATAAGGTACAATCATTTTCTTTACAGACTTCTAATAATTTTCCATTTTATGATTGCCTGGGCACTTGTTTTAAAAGCGAAGTCCAACTTTCAATCTGGGCACCAGAATGTAGGCTCTCAACGTCTCACATTCTTGTGACGACCACACATAGTTTCTGTTTAATTTTGTGGAATTCTTTTAAGGAAGTATCATCCTGACAGACAATGTAAATCACTCACCAAACGACGTTCACATACTGCTCGTTTGTCATGTAAATGAGCAGATAACAATTGCGTGACCAGATTATTACAAAATTTCAAAGAATCAATTCTTGTCCTAGTATGATTCTTTTTCCAAATAATAAATGTATTCAACACAGTTACATTTAATAATCTGAACATTTTCATATTCCATTTCTTGATTTTCTTCCTTTCAAAAAGGTTTGTTTGCAAGTACTGATCTTCCAGATCTACCCCTCCCATAGATTTATTGTAATCAAGAACACTCACAGGTTTTTAAATTTCTTCTTTTCTCTTTGTAATGACTGTTGAATTCATCCTTGTGGTAGGTGCTTATCGTAGAAACAGACTTTTCATCCAGCCATTTCAACACTGAAACAGGGACTAAGAGTTGTGTGATGTACTCACCTTGCTTTAATGCCATATTAATCCACCATTGGAAGATCATCTTAAATTCCGTCTTCATCTGTTTTATTATCTTTATCACTGTATACTCCTCTTATTTATTTCTGTGAGTCTTTTTCACCTTCTTCCGTGAAAAAAAGTAGTTTGGTTCAGAAAATAATGATTACATTGCAGTTTCATGTTTACATTGCAGGTTGGCCATACATTTTTGTTAGGAACCAGATATACCAAACCACTTAAGGCCCAGTTCATGCAGCGAGATGGCAAGCCTGGTTTCTTACAGATGGGATGTTATGGTATAGGAATGACTCGAATCTTAGCTGCTGTTGTGGAGTGTCTCAGCACAACATCAGAAATCCGGTGGCCTCCGATTCTCGCTCCATTCAAAGTCTGTGTAATTCCTCCAAAGGTATGTATTCAATGTTGTAGTATATGTACAAAAATTATTTTGTTTACACTATGTGGTGGAGAAAGGCAAGGTCTATGTCAAACAGATTGAAATGGAATGAATTGAAATTCAATGTAGTATCTTTACAGAGCTAATATTTTAAGATCACCCTGATACTTAAGGTTATTAGTTTACTGTTATTATTTTCTTGACCTTCACTACATCAGCATTCTCCGTTTCAGTTATTGTAATACTTTCATGTTTGTGATTAACATTAAAGTGTATCTAAAAGAATTCATAAACATGCCCTAAATATAAAATATAAATAAGAATGATTCAATAAATATTTACATTATTCGCATTACATTATTGTGTATTGTAGTTCCATATTTCAATGGGTATGTTTATTGATCATTTAACACACGAGTTTCCAAATAAGAGTGCAAGTCATTATCGGTGCCCAATGACATTTCATTCTGTTCAAATTTAGAGGCCCTGAGAACTAGAAACACATCTTTCAATTTTTGGAGATATTATATATAACTAGGACATTTTAAAAAATTTCTAAATAATTGCTCTAAATGCTTGCTTTGCTAAATTTTTACATTATTATTTTTGCCCAAAGACAGCCAACTGAACTTATGAGTACAAAATAGGTTCAATTTGCATTAAAAATCTCTGAATTGACAAAATCTTGTTTTCTTTTCAATCCACTCCTATAACTACATTTTTAAAGCAAGATATTTTGGCTTCATGAAATTTATTCTTTTCTCTTTCTTTACTACTTTCTCCATAAGCATAAGCTGTAGCGAGGAAGTAAAAACAGTGTGTTCCTTATAATATTACCAATAATACCTCCAATAATAAAGTTTGTCAGAATATATAGATAATAATTTGAGTCATCAATATGAATATTGTGCATGTTAGTATTGTTCAATATAATTTATAATTTATCAGGAATTTTCTTGTTTTATCTTTTGCTCCAGGCTGGTAGCAAAGAAAATGAAGTAGCGTCTGGATTGATCTCGTCACTTTTCCATCTGCTTGATAAAGATCCTGTGCTTGCTGATGATATAATAGTTGATGACCGTTTGGAATTAACCATTGGGAGAAGATTGCGAGACACAGCACGAGTGGGATATCCATTAGCAGTAGTGTTGGGCAGGCAAACAATGAACCAAGAACCCCTTCTTGAAGTCCACAATTTTTCCTCCAATCAGCAAGTATTGCTGTCAGTGTCGGACACTGTTCAATACATAGTTCAGCACACAAGGTTGGAAGGTGAACCGGTTGAACAGTCTAGCAGAACAGTACATGCTACACATGGTTAACTATAGTTATGCGAGTGGAGAGACTGAAGATGTTCATGAGCTGTAAAAAAAGTATTTTATAATAAAAATCCTTGTTAACAAAATGCAAGTTCTGATGTTCTTGTAATAAAAGTTCAGCAAAATGCAAGAAAGAAGTTACATTGCCTAATGCTTCAAAAATATATTGTTGAAATTATAAAAAGATATTACTCACAATTTTTTAAAATTAATTTTCCACTATTCTAAAATTTATTAATTATTATTCTCATTCAGGGACACTACTTATTTAACTAAGTTGAATTTTTATATACATTTTCAGTATACTTACTGAGCTACTATACTGTCATAATTAACGTTGAAAACATTTCCCCCAGCTCTAAACAATCATCTGGGTTTTAAAACATTTAAAAAAATTTAAAAACCATTGAAATGTTTGAATAATTTTTTTGAATTATTTCAAATTAAATAACAAAACTAATGAATGTATCGAAATTTTAATTAAAAAATAATTTTAATCTCTACATATTCAAGCAAACAAATACAAAAACAATGGATGATGTTTAGTCATTATTCCTTATATCAACATAAAGTAAATTGACAAAAAAATTCGAACTTCATTTGCTAGTAGTGACAACTAATTTCACCATAACAAAGACACAAAGGCAATATAAGAACAAAATAATGCAAATTGTCATGCTACTTTGTTACATGTGACGCTTTTTTTTATTGATCTATTATTATTACCCAATAAAATTTTTATTACCCATAATTATATAAACAAAAAGTTAAGTTACCAGTAATGCTTATCTATGTTTGAAATTAATTGGGAAGGGGGTAATCCTTTGAAGCATCATATTTACACTTGGCAGTACTGAATAAATATTAGTTTGAATGATAAAGAATAAATAATATTCATCAATAAAACCCAAAAGCACTGACTGGGTTGGTGGTTGTTTTTGCAACTCATAATGCAATATAGTATGTGCAAATTCGTGACAAGTCACTAAAAGTCTCAACCCAATGACTAGATTTCTGCCTGTTATGCCATCACTTCATATGCAAGGAGTGGATCTAGCCCATCATTTTGGAGGGAGCCATCTTAGATTTTTGTTAAATGAATATTTTTTATTATTTTGTATATTTTTGTAGTGTATATATGGTACTATACTATATTATTTTTTAAATAATTACATAATTCTAACATTAATATTTAAATTCATTTTGCCCATTAAAAGAAGATAAACAAAAATTAGGCCTTTTTGGAAAGGCATGGGCCCCATGCCCCCCTTCTCCCTGGGTCTGCCAATGTACACACAAGTCTAATAACTACAAAACTTCTACACATACGACTAATAAGGGCTCCAAAAATCTTATCCTTAGTAAAGGTTCTGTAATATTATACTGCAATTTCTGTCCATATCAACATATCTCAAAGTGCAAATATTTTATTATTTCTTGCTAAAAACTCCATTTTTGACATAAATGAAACTTTCTGTCTTCATTGTGGTTTTATAAAAGCTCTTATAAGGTTGTTTTTTTTTAAAATTATAATACCCTTTAGCTTCTGTTTCGAATACAAAAATAATATTTTTCAGTGTCTCCAAGTTCGTTCTTAAATTTTTCATTTTCTTTTAAATGAATACTTGCTACCAAACAAATCCATATTATCCGAGCACGTATTCTTGAGCCCTCGCTTCGCAAGATGCGAGAGGAGTGGGGAGTTTGGTGATATTGACGAAATTAATTTTACGTCGAATTTGCAATTCACTTTTTGTATTCCAGCATTATAAAAGAACATTTTCTGTTGCTAAAAATCGTTCATAATCGGGCATTTCACGGCGCAAATGATGTATTAGATTTTATGTCACGAATGATTGCGTCATCACACATTCAGTCAATCGTAACCGGAGAATCGGGGGAGGTAGAGGTAAACGGAACAACCGACCACCGTTTACTCGCGTGTCAAATACCCGAGTCGTCACAGTGAAGTTGTATCGCAAAATTAAGTTTGATTCTCTTATAAATGTGTAATGCTGTTATACAAAAAATATAGTATGAAACTCGTTTATAATGTTCCTGTATTACATTCGTGCAAATTTGAAAGCTCGCTCCAAAAGTCGCTCGTTTTCAAAACATTACTCTTGCAATAAAACTTGACATTGTGTACTAATTGAATAAATTACTATTTCCTTGCAAAATAGTTTTTAATACACGGGAGCCAACATTCCTCAACGCCAGATTTTGTCTACAACTCTCATTGTTATCATTTATTCTTAAAGCAACTAATGTTGGGAAAGATAGAGGTGGATTTTCCGGGGCTCAAGAAAACGTGCGGGTTTAATAGTAGTCTCTTCATAATTGTCTTCAAACAGAAATTAAACAGTTATAGATGCTCCGGAAAACATAAAAAACCATTAACGTTTCATTTTTGCTGCCAACTGCTTCAAAAACTGTTCTAACTTTGTATGTTTGTTTTTGAAAATGTTATGAAATCGTAAATGAACGAATACTATTATAAACAAATTTGTAGACATAACAGTTAAATATTACTAACTTCTAGCTAGCCCCTTCTCATTGTGAATATTCAAATAAACATGTAAATTTGTGGCAAATACTAAAATTTCCAACGCTTAGTGTTATATGCTTAAAGTAAGTTTGTTGTTCTTTTTTCATAGAAATACGTTTGCGATTATTAGAAGACGTAATTTATCATTTCCTATTTTCGTAAATGTCAGTTATTACAGTCTAAAGTATATTTGCTCACGAATCGAAGCAATGAAATACACAAAGCGCGGGAAATTCGAATTTTTTCTCAAGTTTCGAAAGTACAGAGTTTGCTCCGAAAATAAGATCACTACTTTCTAAACAGTTCTTTGTTACATATTCCCCTCGGGATTTTATCCAGCTGACTGCTTCACGTCCCATTGGCACTCAATGCCCATTCAATGGGTACCAACAACCTTGAGGGCTCCTTTGATCTAAGGTAAGCAGAACACATGGCCGTCCACGACAACGCATACACGAGAGACAAGTAAGTAGGTTGCTTCAGATTTCGCCAGAAGCAAAAGGGCATTCATAAAAAATTAGTTCTTCAATGTGCCAAGTCATGCAGACATTATTACGGCTACAATTTTACTGTCAACGTGCAAAGCTAGTGAATGTCCAACGTCTCCTTCAACATCTAGAACATACACTGACAATCCCTACTCATCCGTCTATTAGTGTCTCGGGCAATAGCTTGAATTAAGTTCTCCTACTTCCCAACCACTAGAAAAACTGCCAAAGTTAATGACCCAGACACCTACATGCCAATAAGCCTCCTTCCCATGTTTGGAAACATAAAAGCTAATATAACTGAAAGAAATCTCCAGTAATACGTAAAAGACTAGCCAGAATTTGGCTTCCGAGGACACAAGTGGACGGAACTGCAAACGCTACGCCTTGTACATCGCAACAAAAGTACAGCAGAGAGAGAAACTACGAATACCTTCTATCTTCCTCGACCTCTCGACAGCATTCCACATCTTAAACCCCAACACGTGTTTTCAAAAAGAAGTATCAATACTAGGGAGTATTCACCTAAAAAGCTACCTCATCATTTTAAGAATTACACCTAAAACCATACCTCAGACCCATCTCCGGCGTTTCTCAAGAAGCGGTATTTTTCTCCCTTAACACAACTAATCTACCAACCTCCTCAAATACTAATAACTACATCTATACCGACGACACAGCCCTGCCCGTAATCAAAATTCTAGTCCCCCAACTCAAGTTTTTCGAGTCATTGGCAATACAAGCGACTGGGCTGAAGAAAATCTCTGAATAAATCTCGCCAAAGAGCTGTTATCTTCTTCTACCGGGGGATCCAACACATCCCATCCTACTCCACCTCTTAATATCGACAACACCGGACAGTATGTACGAAATACCTTGTAATAGGTTATCGGTTACTAGTTTGAACACGACACATCGACATTAAACAGAAACGCTCTCACCCTTCTACTATCGCACCGCCTAAACGATGAGTAAGATCAAGATTTATATTTACGACATAAAAATCTAAAAGTTCTACTGTGAGAACTAAAACAAAAAAAACGATTTTTACTTTGGCTTTCCGACCCCTACCTATGATCAACTATTAAACTCGGACACTAAATCTTGACACCAGTGTTGACAAAGACATACGAATCAGCTAAACATCAGCGAAAAAGAAAGCCCTCCAGAACCGCACATCCGAATGTTTCCTCAGCTCTATCCGCCTTGACCTGCTCCATCCGCAAAGTTCATAGAGCATGTACTCACCCACCGAAAATAAGCATCATATCCCTCCCTGATAATCAGATTCATCTTTCATAATTTCAAATAAACATTCATTTCTCTATTCTTTTCGCCCTTCCAAACAACAGTTTGTCGGTGGGAAGAGAGATACTTATTTCCTCCATTCCTTTCCGACGTATCGTCACCTACTCAGCCATTCTTCGCCCAAAACGAGAAGAGCTTCAGAGAAGGCCCGAAAGACAACCATCCAAAGATGATGTACCCCCACACACACACACATACACATAGAAGAACTGTTTTCGTGCTCTGTTGTGAAGTCTTAAGTGTTTTCTTTAGATGTGTGACTTCTTTCTGCAACAGGGGTGTGGTAGGACCTAATGCCTGAATACCAGAGAATTTAGGTAACGAAAGCAAAAAATGGCTTTATTCGTCCAGCGTTGAGTAGATTTTCTGTTGTCTTAATTCTTTATCTACATATTTCTGTAACATCTTTCGTATTCTAGAGGTTTTTGTGAAATTTTCTTAAGTGATGATCATTTACAATTGCACCTCACTTTGTAAATCTTCCTTATTTCTACTTATGGTGAGAAGCGTTTGTGTTATCACGAAATATGATGTTATTAATGGTAATTAAAACGTTATCATAAGTACCTGTGTTATGTGGCATACTTACGCAAAGGTTAGGAACCTCGCAGCCCAAAAATATCTTGTGATGTCAATACGAAGAAGGGAAGTGTGTAGTAAATGTGACGCCTGCTGCTTATCACCCTCATTAAAACAGCGGCTTCCCTTTGTTTCTCCAAGTTTTAATCTCGGCCTGCTCCCTTATCATTGAGTCCTTTTATCTTGGATCGTACTAGTAAAAGAAGCATCAATAGGTGCACAGCTTCCAAAAACCAAATAGAAATGCAACAAACTATTCTTGACGAGGAAATATTGTGAATGATGCAATTGCATTCAATCCCGTTCTGTCTGGGAAAATCATTAACAGTGCAGCGCTCTGTTAATAAGACAATGTGGGCTACTATGTTTAGTGAGGTATATAGTCCAAGTAATGCATTCATACAGAGGCGTTGCTACGTTCTCGTGCCCGAGTGCAGAAAGTCGACATGGGGACACATTGCCTCAGCCATATTTATTGGGGATCGGCGGAAGTCGTCGTTCGGGCGGTCCACAGCGGTGCTCCGTTTGCTCCAGCCTAGCTTCGACCTACATTCATGAGAACCGAGAGCATTGCTGTGGTCAAAACTTTTTCCCCGAGTAGTATGTAATACGAAGGATTATTAATTTATTATCACCATTTAATGTCAATGGACGTGACCTCCGCGACGGAAGTTATCATTTCCAGAACGTTTATCAACAGTGTGCAATGTGTGTTTGCTTTGGCCCATTTCTAAAGCTGCTCCACTCTCATGGCCTCTTTAATCCTTCTAATGAACCATGACATAATGATAATAAGAATTCTGTGGGAGATAGACAAAATAAAATAATTTAATTGTATCTTAAAATACTTTTACTACTGAATTCCAAATTGATGATGTTCTACGGTGTGGCAAATACATTTCTGTATCAAGAAATTTAAAATGAGAAAAACATCTGCTAACCTCTTCACAACAAGGTTTCCGACATCCCTGGTCCGTCAGATCGTCGCAAATAGTACAAGCTACCTTTTCCGTTCCGCAAAATTTTTGATTTGTCTCTTCTTTTCCTATTTTCAGCATTTTATCTCGCGGTTGTCCACCATTGGATTATTGCCAACTGGTAAATTTATCATATGTTTGGGATGTTTGACAATAAAATCGTAACCGAAACGGAAATTAGCTCAACTACAGTGGTTGAAACGGACGTATTCCTCGTCCAGCATTTAACACAGAAACTATTACTGATTGGCGCCCACATTTTCAAGAAACAGATTTTGTCATCAACTAAAGAGCATAAGTAAC